GCTCAAAATCTAAATAAGTTACCACGATATGGTGGTTTAGTATTCATTTGTAAGAATCTGTTGTCTTGTATAGTTTGAATGTTCAAGAGACATACATACGTCTATAAATTAGCGTCATGAACTGTTCCTTCAAATCATTTACCACACCAATCCCAGAACACTCATAATTCCTAATTATAATAAAAAATCAAGTATATGTGTAAAATGTAGACTACGTGTTGTTGCTACTCGTAATTTTCCTTCAATATATCAGGCGATGGGTTTCAAATTAACAAAATAAATGAACATATATGATCACTTTGAACACTAAATTAATAGCTTCATATCGGAGTTAGTACAATGGATTCTGGAGCCAAAATGCGAAGACTTCGTTAGTGCCATTCAGGGGTTGCGGTGGATTTATACAATGGCTGTTGTTAAGGGTCTTATGAGCTAGATAAAAGTACAGGTAAAAATGATGTGTCTGTTGGCCCAAATGTCAACTGAAAGTAATGTTTAACGTAAAGAGAGTGACTGATAAGTTCTTACACCTCTTCCAGCAATATAACGGAGGGCACACCAAACGAGGTTTTAACGAATCATTCTCCCGTGAGGGTATTTTCTGATTAATTAAACGAAAGGGGTATAAAGTTGTTAAATAAACATAACATAATGGTGGCAATGACAACAATATATTCCTTTTTTATGGTGGCAATGAGAATAATGCACACGTTTTACACTTCCAAAAACAAAACTAAAAATAAATATGCTGATTTGGGTTATACTCGTGATGACCAGTCAGAACAAAATAGATAAAGATATTGCAGGAAAATAAAGATCCAGCGAATTTTTCTGTGATGAACATGTTGATTATCAAGATTTTTCTAAGGGATCAGATCTGTTCCACAATGACCAAAAGTGTTAACAAAAAATATGTCGCCTTCGTATGAACAATAATTGTCAATACGGAAAGTTGGGAGTGAGTGAGTGAGTTTAGTTTTACGCCGCTTTTAGTAATATTCCAGCAATATCACGCCTGGGACACCAGAAATGAGCTTCCCACATTGTACCCATGTGGGGACTCGAACCCGGGTCTTCGGCTCGACGAGCGAACGCTTTAACCACTAGGCTACCCCACCGTCCCCGGAAAGTTGGAAGTCGTGCAGGTGTGAAAATTCACGAGCACGGATACAGTGCCGGACAAACCTAGAAACATATTCAAGGCGAACATGGATTCGAATACAAGATCATAAGTTACTGATGAGCATAAGGGAGACAACTCTGCACATCGAATTAGAACACCCGAGACGGCTGGGGCATCCGTGCCCCAGATGATGATGATGATGATGATGATGATGATGGTGTGTTCATCGTCATGGAGGAAAGACGTTCACAAAACAACTGTATTTCCATGTTGAAGTTTATGTTAGTCAAACGTGTTGTGGCAATGTTAGCTGGTACCCTTGGGAAAACTAGACATTCGCTGATAAACTACTTCCTGACAAAGTATCTCACAGTGCGTACAAAGATATGATAATTATGATGTTGATGATGACAAACATATTGACCTCCATTACACATCCAAAGCACCATAACTATATTTCCAGCTGCCTCTCCCTGTTTAATCCGTCAATGAACACACCACACACACGTTTTTCTGCCCAAGACCCAGTCAGTTACAGCTGTGGTAATCTCCCGCCTGGTGTGTCAGTGTGTGGGTCTACCTATATATAATACATGGTGGCCAGGTGACTACATACACACATCATAAGTCACAGTGACCATCATGAAGTTCCTAGCTCTCCTAGTTCTTGTGCTTGGTAAGTTCTCACAAATAACTGCTAATGCAAGAGTGGTTCGTTCAGCCATGAAACATGTTCATTTCGCAGTTCCAAACTTTATGTTTGATGTGGCGACCACTATAGGCTGGTGGTTTCAAACATCGTTTCTGTTCACAACATATGTTCTATGCCTGTCATATTCCAGACCCGTAAAGATCCGGGCTAAAAATTGGTTTTCAGCAACCATTACTTGTAGAAACAGGCCACTAACGAGAACGGCTAGTCATCGATGCTCATGATGTTGATCACTGAATTGTCTGGTCCAGACTCGATTAATAAGAACCGCCGACATAGAGCTGGAATATTGCTGACTGTGGCGTTAAACAGATACCAAACAAAAGCATATTCCAGCACGATAAGGGTGGAATATTGTTCGAGCGTCACTGAAATTACTCTGCCTCTCTGCTATTTCGGTTCATATTTCTCAACACTGTTAAATAATGTTAATGTCAGTGCAACATAACACCCAGTCTAAAAACATATTCTTTTAGTCTTTTTCACACTTGTATCAACTAGGTTTAGGTATTCCACACATGGGTACACTGTGTAAAGCCCACTTCTGCTGGCCCCAACTGCAACATTGCTAACTGTGGCGTACAACTAAACCAACTCATTGTAACAAGTCACTCGTTTTCTCTCGTTCGAGGTATCGAATGTTATCAATAAATTATCATACCATCAATATTGGAACTGTATTAAATTTTAACAAATGCACTGTATCTGAAGGTGTAATTTATTTAAATGTGCAAGGTTTTTGCTTCAGGAATATGTTTTTATAAGTTATTAGATTAGGGAATTCAAAGATAAGTATTTAATGAGAATGTATTTCTTTCTTTGTTCAGTAAAAGCTTCACATTTAAATAAATAATGAAATTCAGAATGTAGAATGTTTGGGATGTGGACCATTTTGGGCGTATATTCATGTAACAGATTTTTTCAGCTTGCTTTCCTTAACATCGTGCTTAGTACAAAGTCCATTCTTGTGTTTCAGCTTGCCTTGCTGTGTTCTCGGACGCCTGCGGATGTAGTAAGTGTAGCAGCTGTTGCAGCCACAGCAGCCACCACTCCCACCACAGTAAGCACGGCATCCCCATCCCCATCCCCTACCCCATGAGCGGAGGCAGCAGCGGCGGCAGTCACACCAACTTCCTCCCCATTATCCTCACCACAGCGGGATAATCTGACTAGGTGGGTATTTTTGTATTCACAATTCTGAATGGCATAAATTAGGCGTTAACAACTGTCTTTACGAGTTTAGTCGTAAGTGACTATTGACAACATTTACAAAATATTCATATTTTATCTGGTGCATTGGGAATCTGTCTTCCTACTCACCTTTAATGAGACTATACGTGAGAGTGCGTGACCTTGCCGGCTAACTCGGCTATTTCCGGAACCAACAAGAAGGCGTAGTGATACTGTGAACCGTATATCGAAGGATCCTTCCGCGCACGGTGCTGACATCAAGTGAAACTATTTGGAGGAAAGCTTCTTTCTATGGTTTATGGCAACTGTATCGCCATACAGTTTGATGTCGAGCAACGTTTATGAAAGGGCTACACCTTCAGATACAGTGCATTTGTTAAAATTTAATACAGTTCCAATATTGATGGTATGATAATTTATTGATAATATTCGATACCTCGAACGAGAGAAAACGAGTGACTTGTTACAATGAGTTGGTTTAGTTGTACGCCACAGTTAGCAATGTTGCAGTTGGGGCCAGCAGAAGTTGGCTTTACACAGTGTACCCATGTGTGGAATTGAACTCGGGTCTTCAGCGTGACGAGCGAACGCTGTAACCACTGGCCTGTCCGAGTTTGTTACAATGAGCGAGAAGGAATCTTTAACAAAAACAGATGGGATGTCTCCTGATATGCATTGTAAATATATAGACAATACTATTGGCAATACCTGATTCCTTCCTTGACATCAATATATATATTTATTTACAGATAACACCAGTACATATTTTACTACTTAAGGACCGCACCTGCAACAGGTCGAGATATTGGAGGTTACCTGAAAAGGGGGAAGGGAATGCACGTGCATTTCATGAATTACTTATGTGAATTGCTGTATGGGGATGTCAGCGAATTTAACTATATTTAGTAAACGAGTGAGTGAGTGAGTGAGTTTAGTTTTACGCCGCACTCAGCAATATTCCAGCTATATGGCGGCGGTCTGTAAATAATCAGACAATCCAGTGATGAACATCGTGATCAACATCATGAGCATCGATCTGCGCAATTGGGGACCATTGGGAACCGGTGACATGTGTCAAAAAAAGCCAGCGACCCTAACCACCCGATCCCGTTAGTCGCCTCTTACGAATAGTATGGGTTACTGAAGATGAATTCTAACCCGGACCTTCGCGGGTTATTTAGTAGATGAGGAAAATGTGATTTTATCCTTAACCTTTGTTGTGTTGCAGGTGTATGCTACTCGTGCATTTGTCGACATTGCAAGATTGCAAGATCCATTCGTGTACCGACTTGATGGCCTGTGAGGTATATCAATAAACGCTTGCACCTCAGAATTTGTTTTTTGTATTTTAGAGAAACAATATGTTGGCGAGAAAATGACCATCCAGAGCAGAAATTGAACAGTCTGTCGACACAAGCCATGTCTGATTAATCATTTATTAGTGGTACATATGAGCTAACGCATCTGCCATTAGGCACGTACTACCTAACGCATCTGCCATTATGCACGTACTACCTAACGCATCTGTCATTAGGCACGTACTACCTAACGCATCTGCCATTAGGCACGTACTACCTAACGCATCTGTCATTAGGCACGTACTACCTAACGCATCTGCCATTAGGCACGTACTACCTAACGCATCTGTCATTATGCACGTACTACCTAACGCATCTGCCATTATGCACGTACTACCTAACGCATCTGTCATTATGCACGTACTACCTAACGCATCTGCCATTAGGCACGTACTACCTAACGCACCAGCCATTATGCACGTACTACCTAACGCATCTGCCATTAGGCACGTACTACCTAACGCATCTGCCATTAGGCACGTACTACCTAACGCATCTGCCATTAGGCACGTACTACCTAACGCATCTGCCATTAGGCACGTAGTACCTAACGCATCTGTCATTAGGCACGCTCATCGCTGCAGGTAGTGTTTTGAATGAAAACCATGACCAACAATACTGAGCTATTTTTTTAATTTTTATATATAGAAAGTCAGCCCACATAGTGTACCTTGTGAGTTTACAGACATGCTCAGAGGCGGACACTAGAGTGGTTCAGTCGGGCCTATCCCATCGCTGTCTACCTGAAACAGAGGACAAATCAACACGTTTGCTGTTAAACGCCATAACCGCTACATGACGGCGGTCTCTGGATGAACGAGTCTATCCAATGGTCGATATTATGAGCAACTACCCATGCCATTAACCATGTCACTGAGTCGGACCTTGGCGATCGGCTCTTGCTTCAAGCATAGGTTGTTGGGAACCAATTTTGATCCGTCATTTAAAGGCCGAATCAATCTTCTGGGTTTATAATGTGTTTGCATGTGTTCAGTCATTGAATAAGTCATATTTAATAAAACTGTTCTCGTCACTATATGGCTGAATTATTGCCGATGTGACCTAAAATATTAACTCTGTCACTCATTTAATATGTATTTACACGATGGAATAGTACTAAAGGTATACTCCTCTTCACTCTGAATAGGGGCGGTGGGGTAGCCTAGAGGTTAAAGCGTTTGCTCGTCACGCCAAAGACTTGGGTTCGAATCCCCACATGGGTACAGTGTGAGAAGCCCATTTCAGGTGTTGCTGGAATATTGCTACAAGCGGCGTAAAACTGAACTCACTCACTCTGAATATGTTGTGGATGCATTTCTGAATCGAGACTCGTTATCATTGATCGCTTCTAGGTCAGACAATCCAGTGACTGATAGTGTGAGCATCAATATGCACAACTAGGATACGGTGGCATGAATTAACAATGTAAGTCACCCAATCACGTTAGTCACCGTTTACGAGAAGCATGGATTGCTAAAGATAGTTCGATTTTCGCGGATCTCGAAAGAACACAAACCAGTAACATAATACATGAAACAGTCCATGTATGAGTAAATGGGATTGTGTTAAAGTCTATTTACAGAACGTTTCAGTTGTTTCATAGCGGACTGATGCATTTTAATAGGTGAAACCAGAGGAACTAAACGTCGTTGACTTATACCAACCGGACACACATATTGTCCTTACAGACCAATGGCAGGGTATGAAACTTCCAAAAAATTCAGCCAGACCTCAGGGCTGGTTTGATGTAAAACTTGCCAGCCCTGACCAAAACTTACCTGCCCGCAAATAATTTAGGCGTACTTTTATCATCCAATTGGAATTCATCATTTATGTTACGAGTGCATTAATAATGATTTATTATCCTGAAATATGATGAATATGTTCATATACATGTCTAAATTTTAACCCGACCGTCGGGCAGGTGAATTTGAGAATCTGGCAGTCCGTGTTGAAAATAACCCACCCCGGGCGGTCGGGCAGACAGGCATTTCGAACGCTGCCAATGGTCGAGTCAGAATCAACGGATCCTAAAATGTCTAAGGGACATAACTCTTCACAGTTAACTGGGGTACTGCGTGTACGAGCAAACCGTTTACCCTCAAATTACGAGGATGCAGATTAGGTAATTCTTTAAATGGACACGCGATAGCTAGTGCATTCACAGCTGGACCAGACAATCCAGTGACTGACATAATGAGAGTCTATCGACGCAACTGGGATATGATGACAATAAAGCCCACCAAGTCGCGATCGCCTATCATGACAAGCATGGATTACTGAATATCAGTTCCAGTTCGGATCATATCGGTCTGCTCATCCTTGTCATACATGTCACTGCTCAATTCAAGCATGCTGTCTGTGATGCTGGACTTACTGAGATGTCATCAGCCGGCTGTGGTGAGGACGATGGGGAGGAAGTTGGTGTGACTGCTGCTGCTGCCGCCTCCACCCACGGGGTAGGGGATGGGCATGGGGATGCCGTGGCTACTGTGGTGGGACTGGACGTTTGTCTGACAACAACAGGCATCAGAGTTGGCAGCAAAACAGGCTGGAATGAATGAATGAACGGATGAGTGAATGAATGATATCACCACAGCTGAACGACTCCCATCACACGTCCCACCTTCCACCCCCTTGTTATGATTTATCTGAGACTGAACCGCCAAGCGAATCAGTGAGTGAGTGAGTTTAGTTTTACGCCGCACTCAGCAATATTCCAGCTATATGGCGACGGTCTGCAAATAATCGAGTCGGGACCAGACAATACAGTGACCAACAGCATGAGCATCGATCTGCGCAATTGGGAGTGAGTGAGTTTAGTTTTACGCCGCACTCAGCAATATCCCAGCTATATGGCGGCGGTCTGTAAATAATCATGTCTGGACCAGACAATCCAGTGATCAACCGCATGAGCATCGATCTGCGCAATTGGGAACCGATGACATGTGTCAACCAAGTCAGCGAAACTGACCACCCGATCCAGTTAGTCGTCTCTTACGACAAGCATAGTCGCCTTTTTATGGCAAGCACATGGGTTGCTGAAGACCTATTCTACCCCGGATCTTCACGGGTCACGCAATTGGGAACCGATGACATGTGTCAACCAAGTCAACAAGCCTGGGCCCCATTTCACAAAACCATCATACCGCTATGACAGTCGTAGCGCTACGGTGGCTTTCTCAAACGGGGTCCATGCCGCAGTGAAGCATAAATACCCCACTCAGACACAGTATACTGACTCCGAGCCGACCAGTCCTTGTTGTACCCATTAATGCTGAGCGCCAGGCAGGGGCCAACAAGTACCATATTTTAACGTCTTTTGGTATGACGCGGTCGGGGATCGAACCCGCGGCCTTCCGCTCTCCGGGCGGACGCTCTAACCACTACACCACGGACCTGATGTTTAAGCCATGTGGGAATGGATCCCGAGTTTGATTGTTGTGTAACGCCGCTCAAAGCAATAGTCAAGCTCTATGACTACGGTCTGCAGGAATCGAGTCAGGATCACACATTTCAGTGATTGACATCATGAGCACGCATCGATATGCACAATTTAAATACAATGAAAGGCATCAACCCAGCGAGCCTGACAATCCGAGCCTTCCACATGACCCAACAAAAGCAAAGTTACCAGAGCGGCGTTACGCATCGAAAAACTTCAGAACACTTACTGATCAGAAGACCGACGCATATGAGGAGCTTCATCACGGGAGGGAATCGGTGGTGAAAGACTTTTTGATCGGCAGCAACTGAACGATGTAAGCACTTTAGTATAGAGCTCCGTGACTGTTACCCATCATATATATATGCAGTGGAACGCATGGTGACTGCCCAACCCTCAGACAGCTGTATGGTCTCAGCTGTGTGCGGCACCCCCAGGAGGAGGTCCTGGAAGGGGGTTGTCAGAGCATGGAGTGAAGCGCGTGGGGAACGTTTGATGAACCGGAAGCATCCACTACGACGTGCCGAGCGGACTGCAGCGAATACGTTCATAAAAATACTAAACTGCGTATATTTATTAATAATTCATATATGAAACACAGGAGGAACACGTTTTTAGAGTTATAAATATTTCATTAAAATTATACAAAATCATCTTTTTAATTCCCTTGAGTCATTGTAACTACAAACACCAATTTCTGTTTAAATATCCACAGATGTTCTACAAAAAGTTATCCAAAAGAATATTTCAAGGGTTTATGTGAGTTCATATTTGCCATATTAAAAGAATCCACTCGTGATGTATTCGGTTTATAATTTTCATATTATTCTTTTCCTACTTCGAAACAATTGCATCAAATTAACATCAGAAAATTGTGGAAATCTTAAGTGTATATAACCTTAAGTACTACAACTGACTGACTGAGTTTGGTTTTACGCCGCTTTTAGCAATATTCCAGCAACATCACGGCGGGGGACACCAGAAATGGGCTTCACACATTGTACCCGTATGTGGGGATTCGAACCCGGGTCTTCGGCGTGACGAGCCAACGCTTTAACCACTAGGCTACCCCAGCGCCCCTTAAGTACTACAAGCTTTCCATTACCATGTGAACTGTTAACTCCCTTGTATTATATTCATTCGCGTTGAAAAAGGTTCTTCGGATCATCTGAATGCAACATACTTTGCAGAATAATTGCACAATGATTCTGTGACAGTTGTGTATAGTAGGGGACTTTGTAATTTAGGATTGATATTTAGGGAGATATTTAGGTGTCAATGAATGTTGACATCATAATGAATGTTTTGAGAGTACATCACCACTTGCACTAATGACCATAGTTGTTTGTACAGTAATCGCTCTTGAAAGATGGTTGGTGTATGACGTGAAAATAGCATGTTTACAATTTTCATTAAAAAAAACCCAAACATAAAAACAGCAAGAAACAAACACTAACAACTGATGCAGGATGATTGATGGTCTTCAGTGATTTATCGACCTTGTAAACCGTCAAAATCAAGAATGACACCCCATGCACGTGCATGGGGCTAGAGCGATATGCACGTGTCACAATCCGTCGTCTTTTGACCGTATCCCCGCTTGGCGATTTAACCAAATGAGCCTTTACCACCAGTAGCCTTGGCAGCAAAGAGTGCTGACACACATGGATAACCATCCGCCGGCTTGTCTACTGGCGATTTGGACGTAAATCGACGAAACAAGTCCACTTCCTGCCGTCTAATTCCCTAATTCATGTCATAGGGATATGACGTACGTTTTGCCACATGCTTACGTCGTACTTAGTTTAATTATAAATGCCCCCAAAACGGTGACTATCCCGTACCCAACAATATCTGCTGTTCTTTTCATACATATTTTTATTCCCCTGATGGAGTAAGGATATACTCCGAAACGTTGTATTCTTCATACTAAAGTTGACATCCATAGAAACACTTCCTTATCAGTGAAAAGTTGTTTGGAGCAACTCTCACGATATGTTTACAAGTTGTCATCTTTGACGGAGGGGGCACAGCGAAAGAAGTGCTCACACGTTTCCTTCAACATATTTTCTATGGGTAATCAGATTTGTGTGGTTTCTTTTGGATATTCTCTTGGTTCATCATAGTGCAGTAAAACACTGCTGTGATGCAATCTTATATTCTAACATAAATCCATGTGTATCGCTTATGTTACAGAGATTTTTTCAAACAGCCTTTTAACGAGAGCAATTCAGAAAGTGATTAAATAGACTGAACTTAATCCTGTGCTAGCAGTTTCGGACAAGTCCATTTTAAGAAAAGGGGGTTCGTTTCATATATTTTGAATAGTCACAAACACCTAAATTGACGGTCCAAAAGTAACATTCCTCCCACTGCCACTCCACTCCACTCATCTCTTGGTTTAACCAGATATAATGGGATAAGTGAGCGAGTTTAGTTTTACGCCGCTTTTAGCAGTATTCCAGCAATATCACGGTGGGGTACACCAGAAATGGGCTTCACACATTGTACCCATGTTTCGGGAATCGAACCCAGGTCTTCAGTATGACGAGCTTTAACCATAAGGCTAACCCAGATAAAGGAAACTGATCTAACAGGAAAGGAATCACCTCAAAAATATACTTCCATCAAAATTTTACTCACTTAAAACACTCGCTATGTTATGGATATATATATATATATATATGGTTACATTTAAGATCGATTTCTCCACTCACTCACTTGGGGGAATTAACTGCAAACCATATGCATTTGAACTGCACAAGGATCATGCATCAACTTGCTGAAAAGCATGTGCAAATATCGTGCATGTGAACAGCTGCATTTTGGTGTAAAGATTTGTTATGAATTCGCCAATTTTCACTGATTTTTATCATTTATTGCACTCGTGACAATCTTTTCAACGTTACGACTGACTGACTGAGTTTGGTTTTACGCCGCTTTCAGCAATATTCCAGCAACATCACGGCGGGGGACACCAGAAATGGGCTTCACACATTGTGCCCATGTGGGGATTCGAACCCGGGTCTTCGGCGTAACGAGCCAACGCTTTAACCATTAGGCTACCCCACCGCCCCATTCAACGTTACGAATTTGTTTACAACACAGTTCATGTGTAAACAATACCTTTACACAATATGGAATATTTCGCAAACTTTTGTTAAGAACAGTTGCCTGGAGCAAGTGGTTATATTTACACTAGCGAGTCAAACTTTTGATGGGAAGTAAAGATAAATCAGGATTTCAGCCTGGATGTTTCAGCCTACAGGGAGAGTTGCCGATTTTCAGCAATCATCCTACCAGTACCTGTCGTTGCTGCAAGCCTCCAGATCCGTTATGGTACATACAGTGTAAATGACACGAAAACTACCCATACACCGGATTTATTGGATGCTTCTGAGTCGACTCAGCAGATACAAAGTGGTAAATACAAAGATCAACAGCACGACACCAGACGTCCCAAGCACTGCTAGTTTCACGTTGCGTGTGAAGATCTTAGACTCCCCCTGGTGGACGATCGTGACACGATGAGGGTCTGCGTGGTCAACGTCCTCATTTCTGAATGGCAGATTACCAATAACAGGTCTGCGGGCCTCTTGGGACGCCGGTCTGCGGGCCTCTTGGGACGCCGGTCTGCGGGCCTCTTGGGACGCCGGTCTGCGGGCCTCTTGGGACGCCGGTCTGCGGGCCTCTTGGGACGCCGGTCTGCGGGCCTCTTGGGACGCCTCTTGGGACGCCGGTCTGCGGGCCTCTTGGGACGCCTCTTGGGACGCCGGTCTGCGGGCCTCTTGGGACGCCTCTTGGGACGCCGGTCTGCGGGCCTCTTGGGACGCCTCTTGGGACGCCGGTCTGCGGCCGTCTTTGAGGCTCGGTTTCAAATCTGTCTCCATAGGAGCTCGCTCTAACGTTGGATCTTGAAGGACGAAGAACTCAGCTGCTACCATTTGCAGCTCCCCAGCAGCTGAAAGTCAATACAACTGTGGTTTAAAAGCCAAGGTGTTTTGCTTCGACGATTTACGTATCTCCAAATCAATCATACATAACGCGATGAAGAAAACGTTTAACTACGTATTTTATATGACTTGGTGGAATACATATTAAAAAGCCCGGTCTGTTTCAATACAAACCCCGATCATAGCATTTCATGAAATTTAAAATCTCAGATGAGTCCGTAATAACAAGTCTTTAATTTATGTGGATCGAGTCGGTTTGCTCCGGTAAACTTAGCCGCCATACCTGTGCTTTGGTAAAACCGTTTTCCCACAACAGGAAACGTAAAACCTGACAGACCCACCCTGTTGAAAGCCCACTCCTTCCACCTCCGTGTCCCCGGTGCTGGCATGGACAACCATGGGGGGCTGATCAGCATCACGCCTGAGTCGGGCGAGGGTAGCATCCTCATCTGCATCACGCCTGAGTCGGGCGAGGGTAGCATCCTCATCTGCGTCACGCCTGAGTCGGGCAAGGGTAGCATCCTCTACTTCACACGTGGACTAATTAACCATACAAAATACATACTTGTCAAACACTCAGATAACTGCTGATCACTACACGAAATGGCACGCATTCTTATATTATATTTAAAAGGAAATCTGTTTATTATAGTACACTGATACAAAACACAATGGAACACAGCTGACGGGCTTCACTTGAAAACAACCAGAATCGACAGGTTTGCCAGGCCCTCGAAATTTAAGACGCAACATCGGATTGGCGCAATCTCAAACTAATTAAAAGAAATCTTCCAACGTGTAGTGTCCACGCTTGCGAATGCATGAACTGTATAGTCTCGTGTCCAAGTGCTTGACCTTCAGTGACAAATTGTATTTGTGACAAACTTACTATGCAACAAAGGTACCATTACGAACTTTATACGATAATCCGTATGGTTCCTTACCAAGTCCAAACGCAGTATTATTGGTCCCTCGTGCACCTACCCCAATACAACCCCCCTCGGTGCCACGTGCACCTACCCCAATACAGTCTCCCCCCTCGGTACAATCTCCTTGTCTACCGTGCACCGTGCACCTACAACCTCCGAATACAATCTCCTTGGTCCTTGGTCCGTGCACCTACCAATACAATCTCCTTGGTCTACAACCTTGGTCTGCACCTATCTCCCAATACAATCTCCTTGGTCTACCGTGCACCTACAACCTCTACCGTGCACCTACAAATACAATCTCCTTGGTCCCCGTGCACCTGCCCCAATACAATCTCTACCCTTGGTCTACCGTGCACCTGCCCCAATACAATCTCATTGGTCTACCGTGCTACCTACAATCTCCTTGGTACAATCTATCCTTGGTCTACCGTGCACCTACCAATAACGAAGCTACATTTGAAGTTACCGTGCACCTCTACAATATCTTTGGTCTACCGTGCAGCTACCAAAGATCTACTTGGAACCTACTAATACAATCTACTTGGTCTACCGTGCACCTACCTACAATCTACCATCTTGATCATCTATGAAAGCTTTTCTTCTTGTCACGGAACGGGGTCCGACCATCTTGATCACCTGAACAGCCTTTCTTCTTGTCAAACGGGTATCATGTACCACACCTA